GATGGGGAGGACTGGGCTGGCTCTGCGGGCTTCTGGGGGTGGAAGCTCTCCTGCAGCCCCCCAGTTGTCCCCTCTCCCCAAATGGCAGCCTGCGGCAAGTGCAGCCGGGCTGATGGCCAAGTGGTGTGATGTTCCCAGTATGGGTAGTCCGGGCAATCCAAGCTAGGGCTGCTTTGCAAGTGGGGCACCCCTGAGAACTGTTTGTCCGGGGTGGGGTTCGGGTCCCTTTAAGCACAGCTCTCAGCTAGCCTGAGACAGCATCTCCATGCTCTAAGTCCTTATCTGATGCCCTGCCGGCAGTGCTTCCGGCCATCCTTAACCCCGGTTCAGGGTCCACTTAATGTGGACATGCTAGTTCGAATTAGCAAAACGGTAATTCTAACTAGTTTTTTAGTCTGGATCCGTTAGTTCGAATTAGCTTAGTTCGAATTAACTAATTCGAACTAAGTTAGTTCGAATTAGCGCTGTAGTGTAGACATACCCCCTTTGAGAAACAGGCAAAGTGTGAAGTCCCTAGCCCAACAGAAATCAACAAAAGTTCCTATGGAAGTCAACGGAACCAGGATATCACCCAAAGTTAGAACAAAAGAACATACAAAAGAACTACTGATGAGCAAGCACAAGTCTTGTACAAAAACAAGTGGACATAAAGCCTCAAAGCAAATGATATTCCTGTATGCACTTAACTATGGCATCTGCAAGAAGTCTGAACATTATTCCAGACAATATCTCAATTAACTATTTGAGGTGACTTCAAGCAATAGAGAAAGCTGCTTTTAATCAGCATGGCTTTACCAATAAATGTCACTCAATCTTACTACACCCAGTGAAGGTTACCATATGAGTATGTCATAAATGATTTACTTAGACAAAATAAGATATAAACTTAAACCAAAAAAGTATAAACTAGATCTTTGGATGCTCTCTAGCAGTTCCATGTTAATGTACTGATTCTTCTCTGTGTGTCAGAATTTATGGATTATTTGTTACTAGAAAAGTAAAGCTCTCTCTCTTAAGAATGTATATAAAGTGCATTATTTTGGAACATAAATGCATAATTGCATTATCAGATATTAGTGGTATTTGTTATCTAAAACAGCATAGCTATTTATTCTATTTTTTTAAAAGGGGGACTCCTAATTAAGCATTTGATAATGTTAACCCACAGTTGTTGTAGTAAAATTCCATTGAGGTCACCGTATTTACAACAAGGATAACTTTGGCTCATTATATAGGTTGCCACTATCAACAACCATTAGCATTTCTGCAGGTCATGTCACAATTTCATCAACCAACTTACATGGATATCAATACTTATTTTTGTGGATTTTAAAAAATAGCTGGATTCATAGCCTATAAGAATGCCTGATCAGTTCACTGGGTTCTATCCATGCTAGAGAAAAGATCCATGAGAAAGAAGCACACTCAGTAGTGTCCACCCCAAGCATTCAAAAGTAATGAGCAAGGCCTCTAAAAATAACAGGACTGGTTTAAAAAACAGAAGAGTGTTTTAAAAAATAATCAATTTGAAGCAGGACTATTAATGGGAGGGAGGCTGAAAAGGGAGGAAATTGCTCTGGGTACTGGTGCTTCAGAAGAGCCTGGGGCTCCCATCCACCAGTGCCACTACTGCAGGAGCAATGCCAGCTAGAGTCCTGGACCCTTTAAATTACTTCTGGAGTGCAGCAGTGCACACTGCAGGCAGCTTTGAGTGCTAGAGAGGAGGGCCCAGTGCAGCAACTTCCGGGTAGTGCTGAGGACTGGTTGATCTCAGGAGACCTCAGTGGAGTTTTACTACAACAATTGTGGGTTAACATTATCAAAAGCTTAATTAGGAGTCCCCCTTTTAAAAAAATAGAATGAATAGCTATGGTGTTTTAGATGATAAAATCTATCTGAAGCCACAACACCTTCTAGGAGTGCATGCCTGGCCCTCCCCACTCTGTGCTGAGGTCTGGCAAGTTTGTTGCCCTCTCCTCTCCTCCTGAGCCCCCCCCATCACCCGGTGATGGACCAGGCCGGGTCTGGGCATCACTTAGGGTGTCAGCTCAGGGCGAATTGCTCAAAACCAAGGCTACTTACAGTCCTCGACTGGAGACCTTTCCCAAATAAGCCACAAACCAGTCACACAGAGTGCTTCACCTGCCAATCTGACCAGCAGAAAGCCTCCAGAGCAAAACCCCTCAGACATCCCAGCTCGCCCTATGCCACAATCAGCCCCAGACCTTTCACACAGTGAGAGGTTATAAAACCCGATCTCACCAACCCGGAACAGATCCTCCCTATCCCAAAGAACAAGCCACAGTCCCAGGTCAATTTACACTTTAGATCTTACCCACAAGAGCATGCTGAGCCAATCCTTTAGAATCTAAAGATTAAGTAATAAAAGAAAGAAAAAGTTGCGTGTAAGATTAAGAAGAATACATTACATAGAAAAGTCACCAAGTGCTTGATGCAGGCTCTTAGCAGAGATGTTACAAACTGCTGGCTTAAAAGTCTCTGTTGTATATCCTATGTCAGGATGGATCAGCAATCCTTTCCAGCTCTCTATCCCTAGCAAGGATCTGGAATCAGTAGCAGGATTGAAGACAAGATGGAGACAGCCTCATGGCACTTTTATATTCCTGGTGTCTCCCAAACTGTAGCTGGTTACATGATCAAGTGACCTATGTGTGTTTCACATGCAAGTAGACATGAGCACTGACTGGTCTGCAGGTTCCCAGAAGCAGTCCTCAGGTGTGTATTGGCCACTGAGAGCCATTGTCCATGAAGCAGTGCTAGTTAGCACAGCCATTCACTGTACAATCCTTCCTCACATTAGGCAGTCATTTGTTGACTTTTCTATGTAATGTATTCTCCTTAACAATCTTAACTTAACTTTCCGCTCTCTCCCAGAAAGAGAACATTAAGAATACAAGAACTGGGCCCATACGCATAACTCCACATACAAACATCCTACATGAGTAGCATACATAGAATCAGCAGAGCATAAGCTTTCATTTGACACTTCGCATTGCCCACAGATATTGGGGCAAATGCCACCCATAGGTGCAACAGTGATCTGTCTGTCCATTTTAAAATCCAATAACATGACACCCCTGTTTTGAGGTCTTTTTTTGCTTTCCAGTTTTTGAGCCTTTCAGGTGCACTTTGGCCAAACTTTTTTCTGCCACTACGTGGACTAGGCATTTGCTTTTGTTTTCTAAATGAAAGGCAAGGTTCTCACATGCCACCAGGAACTGGATAGTTAAGGGGGGAAACTGTGAAACTTGAAATAAAAGAATTGCAAGTGTTTGGAACACAGCACAAACTAAACTGCAAAGTAGAATCCATGTCTTAGAGCACTAGTGGGGGGAGAGGGAGAGTCACACAGTTAAAACCCTGCGTAACACTTCAAAAATATGTTTCGGGGGGATGAGTATCTATCTCCCTTAGGATCCTTTGAAAATCTCAGTCATAAGCAGAAATGTCTTGTGACTAGCTATTGTAAGTCCACAACAATGGAATACTAGGGTATGTCTATACTTGCCCCCTACTTAGAAGTAGGGAGGCAAATGAAGCATATCGAAGTTGCAAATCAAGCCCAGGATTTAAATATCCTGCGCTTGATTTGCATGTTCCCAGCCGGTCATCATTCTAGAAATTCACTAGCCCAGAGTAACTGCCCGCGTCTACACATGGCAGTGAAACAGGAGTCCGATTTAAAGCCCTAACTCTAATTAGCTGGTATTTCTCCTGCAATGAGGGTTACCAGCTAATTTGAATTAGGGGCTTTAAATCGGACTCCTGTTTCACTGCCGCGTGCAGTTACTCCAGGCTAGTGAATTTCTAAAAGGCGACTGTCCGGGAACATGCAAATCAAGCGCGGGATATTTAAATCCCGGGCTTGATTTGCAACTTTGGTATGCTTCATTTGCCTCCCTACTTCGAAATAGGGGGCAAGTGTAGACATACCCTTAGAGATACATCTTCTCATATGGTTTTCAAATTTAAACCAAAGAATGCTTTTCATACTCTTTCCATACTGCAATCATGGAATCATTCCCTGCAAATCTTCTCTAAGGGTATGTCTACACTTGCAGCCTAATTCGAACTAGAGCTGCAAATGTAGGCATTCGCAATTGCAAATCAAGCCCGAGATTTAAATATCCCGCGCTTGATTTGCATGTTCCCGGACAGTCGCCTTTTAGAAATTCACTAGCCTGGAGTAACTGCACGCGGCAGTGAAACAGGAGTCCGATTTAAAGCCCCTAATTCAAATTAGCTGGTAACCCTCATTGCAGGAGAAATACCAGCTAATTAGAGTTAGGGCTTTAAATCGGACTCCTGTTTCACTGCCATGTGTAGACGCGGGCAGTTACTCTGGGCTAGTGAATTTCTAGAATGATGACCGGCTGGGAACATGCAAATCAAGCGCAGGATATTTAAATCCTGGGCTTGATTTGCAACTTCGATATGCTTCATTTGCCTCCCTACTTCTAACGTTTCACTGGCACGTGTAGACGCGGGCAGTTACTTCGGGCTTGTAAATTTCAAAAATGGTGCCCAGCCGGGAAGATTCCGAATGCCTACATTTGCAGCCCTAGTACGAATTAGACTGCAAGTGTAGACATACCCTAAGTGGATATAATATTTTGAATGATACATTCAGGCAGGTGTGGAACTTGAAGTGATAGCAATTGTGTATTCGTGAACAATGGAGGGTTTAAAAAAATTATAACCCTTCTGATATTTATACAAGAGCCATACTTGTTTGACAGTGAAAAAGCACACACATATAGAAGGACTGGGGCAACCTAAAAACCTAGAGCGCTTTAGTTCAGTAATACAACTCTCTTGATATAAGATTTATATAGTAAAGGTGGATCTGATGGTGTTATAGTCATATTTATAGTAGTTTGTGGATTTGATGGTGTTATAGTAACACTGGGTTGTTGTCACAGATACATCATTTTTTGCCATCATGATTAACATATTAGGGCTATGTCTACACTGCAGGCTTCTTGCACAAGAACTTTTTGCGCAAAAGTTCTTGAGCAAAACCCTGGGCTATGTCTACAATTCAGGCTTCTTGTGCAAGAACTGTTTTGTGCAAAAGGTTTTGCACAAGAGTGCATCCACACAGCCATGTGCTTTTGTGCAAGAGTTCTTGTGCAAGAAAGCTCTGATGGCCATTTTAGCCATAGGGGTTCTTGCACAAGACGTCCTGTTCCCATCCACACTAGCCTTTTTGTGCAAGAGCTCTTGGGCAAGAGGGCTTATTCCTCGTGGGGAGAGGAATAACTCTTGCGCAAGAAGCCCTCTGTTCCAATGCTTTACTGTAACTGTACTTGCGCAAGAACGTGCAGGCAGTGTAGACGCTCCGCAAGTTTTTGCGCAAGACCAGCTGTTCTTGCGCAAGAAGCCTCTCTGCAGCTAAGTCTACACTGGCATGATTTTGCGCAAATACTTTTAACGCGATAGCTTTTGCGTTAAAGTATTTGTGCAAGAGAGCGTCTACACTGGCATGTGCCTTTACACAAGAGATGTGCTTTTGCGCAAAAGCATCCATACCAGCATAGACACTCTCTTGCGCAAGAAAGCTCCGAAGGCCATTTTAGCCATCGGGCTTTCTTGTGCAAGAAATTAATGTTGCTTGTCTACACTGGCCTCTTGAGAAAGAACAGTTGCGCAAGAGGGCTTATCCCTGAGTGGGAGCGTGAGAATATTTGCGCAAGAAGCACTGATTTCCTACATTAGAACATCAGTGTTCTTGCGCAAATACTTGCGGACAGTGTAGACAGGTGGCAAGATTTTGCGCAAAAGCGGCCGCTTTTGTGCAAAATCTTGCCAATGTAGACACCGCCTGCAAGTTTTTGCACAAGAACAACTGTTCTTGTGCAAGAAACCTGTAGTGTAGACATAACCGATATGTTTATTAAAACATCATTTCTAATATTTTCAAACACAGCACTGAAATATTATTGCTATTTCAGGCACCAAATGAAGACTTTAAAAAAAAAATGGGTCCTTTGCCATTGGAAAATAAACTAAAAGAAAGTGGTTTGGTTGTCCTAGAAATGGCTGGATTCTGATGAGGCTTTTTCCAGTCTGGTCTACCAACAGGGGAGGCAAAGGGGGCAGTTGACTTGGGAGCCTGGTGATTCAAAAGGGGCCAGGGCTCCCAAGCCCTGCTGTTACAACTGTGGAAGCAGCCAAAATCCTGGGCCCTTTAAATCACTGCCAGAGTGCCACATACTTCAGGCTGCTTCGAAGGCTGGAGTGGGGGAGGGATGCGCTGCAGTCTGGGCAGCCTAGAGGGCTGGCTGTCCCAACCCTGACCCTTTCTGCCTGAGGCCCTGGCCCTTCCAGGAGCTCAGAACTGCCCCCCTTTCCACACCTCAAATTGTTCAGGGGCCCACTGAGGCTGTCAGCTCACCTGCTTCCAGCCAATGGAGGGGGTGAGACTCAGTGGTCGCCTTTTGGTGACACTGTGAGAGGCTCTACCCCAGAAAGAGAAATAAACACCTGCTTTGAAACTGACAAAGTGATTCCTATAAACAACATTTAACCCTGCAGATTATCTGACATTAACGCAGAAAGTTTAATAGTTGAACTCTATAGAGTCTCAATTAAAGAACTTCTTTAAAATCAACAATTATACAAACAGAAAATGCTCCCACTTACCAATAGCTGCTGTAAAGTAGTATTCAATTTCCTTGGGGGTAAGGGCCCTTTCCCATATGATAAACTCATCAAAAGCCCCGTTCACATAGCGTTTGCTCTGGTCATTCTCTGTCCCCGTCACCAGATTTGCGTTGGGGTCCCCATAGCTGTAGGAAACTTTCCCATTTGGGTCGGTGGTGTTTAGAGTTCCATTGACATAGACTTTCAAGCCTTCTTTTAATCTCCATGTGAAGAGAATATGAGTCCAGTAAGGACCTGCAAAACATTAAAACCTATTGTAAAATCCATGGGTCAACCTCATTTACCGCCTTCCCTGTTCAATAAATTTCAGCCCTGTTAAAATGCATTTTATTTGTGTAATGCATTGGAGCTATAAAGGAAATGTCAACACTGAATTATAGAGCAATGATATCATGTACATTACTCTTTTTTCACAAGGGACAGTCAATACTTTAGCATAACCCCTATTGGCTTCAGTGACATTTTGAGTGAATCCTTACTCAGGCTTATGGCAATTGCATAAATTATACTGTAGGCCCAGATTTAAAGTCCTTATTCAACCATATCTCAGGCAAACCAACCACTTCAATGAGAGCTGCATAAGGACTTCAAGACTAGGAAGTTTGTAAATAAAGACTAATTAAAGATTGCTGAAGATTACTGAAGAAGTCTAACATTATTTATAACAATTGTCACATGTATTAAATTAACTACATACATGCAAAATTATTCTTATCTATCAGCCTTCCTTCCAAAACACTTTTAAGATTATTAAACTTCATCACAGCCAAGGGGAAATTAGGTAAAACAATATTATCATCCCCATTTTATAGATGGGAAAATTGAGGCAAAGAAATGCTTAGTGACACTTTTTTCCCATAATTACAATGCACGAATCCTATCAGCCAGAGCTCATTGCTTCTCAATTAATAACCTGCATTTTGAATCAAAAGACAGAAATAAGATATTCATTTTAAAACATTTTTTTTTACCATAAATGGCCAATGTGTATCATGTAAGCATGGAATGCTTACCCAAAAGGGTTAACTTAGAGGTTTAATATGAAAGAAAATGGGAAGTTAGACTCTCATCCAGCTTTCAAATGCACTGTTTGGGGAATTTAAAGGCTTCAGCCTTCATTTCTCACTCAGGGTATGTCTACACTACAAAGTTAATTCGAACTAACAGATGTTAGTTTGAATTAACTTTGATAGGCGCTACACTAGCGCTCCGCTAGTTCAAACTTAATTCGAACTAGCAGAGCGCTTAGTTCAAACTAGGTAAACCTCATTTTACAAGGACTAAGCCTAGTTCGAACTTACTAGTTCGAATTAAGGGGTGTGTAGCCCCTTAATTCGAACTAGTGGGAGGCTAGCCCTCCCCAGCTTTCCCTGGTGGCCACTCTGGCCAACACCAGGGAAACTCTATTGCCCCCCTCCCGGCCCAGGACCCCTTAAAGGGGCACGGGCTGGCTTCGGTGCCCGTGCCAGGTGCAAGCC